CTCATTGGTGGTTACTGTCAAACTACACCCTCCACAGTTCGATCAATTTCAAAAGTTTTGAAGGCTAGAAAATTTGTTTCCAGCATTAGGCAAATTGCTTAATTTCACATCACTGATGTTTGTTTATTCATTTAATCATATTTTCCCCATTTTTCTACTTAAGGAGTATGAGCTAGTGTATTTAGATTGGGTAATTCATGAAAGGAAGGGAGGTAGAAAAAATGGTTGATTTATAGCTGAAATTTATTCCGTGCAAAGCCTTTTATTAACTTGAAAAGTGGAAATGGTTGGTTTCTGTTACGCCCCTATATGAAACACTTCAAAAAGTCTACCACTGCGTCATACGAGGTGTTCAACATCCATCCAAAGTGGTTCCGAAGTGGAGTCACCATCTGCTAACGCACTGTGAGGCACAGACAATCTACTGAACCGAAGAGACGCCCTCGCCCCTGAAGCCGAGGCGTAGTTCAAGCTGAGGTTCTCTGCTAGAGGATCCGTCGTCAATTTCAGAAAGAGATCTATGTCAAGATCCTTTCTGCCCCCAAAATTCAATTGATTTGACATCTCCATAGCCTAGTTGATGTGACGTATCAACTTTATGTCAACTCAACTCGGGAGAAGTAATTATCCGCTCACTCTATAGAGGCGGCTGATTGACGCCTATAAGCAGACGTCTCACACCGTCAGATACGTATACGTGTCCCACATCCAACGGTTCTCTTCACCTATAAATACCCAAGGTTTGACAAGAGGCAAATGTAATGAAACTCTTACAACATAGCTTTCCATAACAAGCAAATGCATATATTCTCCTTCCCACTATTTTGCACAGCATTGGTATTGTTCTGATCACTTGAGGCTAGCTTGACTGTCGGAGTGTACACGGCTGCCGCCACCCCCGCTGGTTTCGATCGGATGTATCTGACCGTGCGTTGACTGTGCACATGGAAGAATATATGGAGTAGCTATCTGTTGACCACGTGGAGGGTCCAACTTGCGAGGTCAACAATTTCAATACAATTTCAATTGATCTGTAATAGTCGGGTTCAATTTCAACCTATTTTAACTAGACAGTCAAGATGAACATATTTTTAACTCAATTTTATAAAGATTAAACTACTTGTACAGGGTGAATTTTACAGACGCAGTGTTGGCAGCACTATAATGTACAAAATTCCTATACATGTAGTGTTGTTGATTTTATCCCGCAAGTGGACAGATCGTAACAAGTAGTAAAGTTGACCTTTTGAGTCCTGATTATCGTTCTTTCGAGAACTATATTTTAATACTCAATTCATTATTCATAACTTCTATTTGATGAAAATAAACAAAAAAACAATGATTGATTGTGATTTAAAATATAACTACTTAAAATGTAAATGCACCAAAAGTGATTAAGAATTCAAATAATGAATGGATATTAGAGCGGAGTAAATTCACCTATTGGTCACCTTTACTTCTAATATCGAGATTCATAAAATTTAAAGTAGTGTTCGGTCGAATTCTTTTATGGTATTCAATTTATCCCTCTCGAGTTCTCATTGAGCCTATTTAAATAATTCAATTCCATAACTCTACACGAATCAACATTATTTAAACGAAATAACAATTCTAAAAATTCCTATAGGACTTCAACAATTAATATAAGTATCTCTATACGTTATATTAATTTACCGAATTGTAATATGCAGTCTAAACAAAAATTCGCATCTCTGTGAACAATTACTGTTCACGAAATCATTGAATAATTGGCCAGAAAATTCAAACATTAAAAACATAATTAAAATCCACATATAAAATATAAAATAACAAGAATCTCAAATAAAAAAATAAAGGTCCCAAATCAGTTATATTGTTAGTTCTCAAATTAAATTTTGCTACTCATATTAGTAGAGGAAAAACAAGAAATTATGAAAAAATCACCTGGAATTGACGAAATGAAAATAATTCTCAATTATACTTTTTGCTGTCTTTTTTGTGCAATTAAAGAAGGACTCCCAGATTTTTTTGTCTCCCAAAACTGCCTCCCATCGCCTCAAAGTGAGTGCAAAAAAGAATATAAAATTGACTGGCTCAAGTTCCTTGCGTAGTTGCGTGTCTTCTATTTAATAGTAGCAAAATTTTTTCCTCTCTCCCTCCGTTTTCCTGTGTGTGTGTCTGAAAATATATATGGCAGCCTCTCTCCTTGTACGTGTATATATCTCTCCAAAATAATAACCTAGTGGCCACAATAGTTGACTAAGAAAAAGGACTCTAGCTCTTCCAGTCTCCTGCGTGAATGTATAGATATAACTCTCCCCCTACAGTAGGCAACCCTTGTTGATATTTTATATGATTTGAATTCCAAAGTGGCCCACACGTTTGACTCCAAATTCCTTTTCAATTTGTTGGCAGCCGAAGGTCCAATTAAAATTGCACTTCCCAGCCTTCTGAATTCTATTAAGATTTGATTCCATTGGAGGCCCAATTAATCACTTATTTTCTTCAAGTCATTCAACTTTTAAGTTAATGCAACGTAATCTTTGAGTTCCTCCATTGTGCAATCAACGTCCTCTTCAATTTTGCAAGTGTTGAATTTGATCATTAATATTGCATCCAGTAGCCAACTTGTTCTTCATCCTTTTCCATTTGCTCCGAACGAGTCCATTACTAAAAACAAACTAAAATTAACTCAAGTTAAATAAAAATTAATGGGTAATTGGCACAAAACGTCCTTACCTTTCAAGTCTATTGTGGAAAACGTCCCTACCTTTCATTTTTTGGCATTTTTGCCCTCATTTCAACCTTTCTTTGCGCTGGACATCCTTCCGTCTATATTCCGTTAGTTTTTCCGTTAATTAAAGGGTAATTGGCACAAAACGTCTCTACCTTTCAAATTTATTGTGGAAAACGTCCATACCTTTCATTTTTTGGCATTTTTGCCCTCATTTCAACCTTTCTTTGCGCTGGACGTCCTTTCGTCCATATTCCGTCAGTTTTTCCGTTAATTAAATACAAAAATACCTTTTTCTTTCCATAAACAAGGATAAAATTGTCCTCACACACTTCACCCCTTTTTCCCGCCATCAACTTAGTCCATAAGTAACAGTAGCAGCGACATGAATCTGAAAATACTTTAAATGATTAAGTTAAATAAAGAAAAAATATCGTGAACACATTATATTTCACAATTCCACAACTACTGTTGCTGTCATCTTGTGTCACTGGAAAATTTTAGAAAGACATATTAAATGGGTAGTCAATTTATAATGAGCCAAAATGGTGAATGACTCTTTTTGGCTCAATGGAGAAGATGAATGGCTCATTTTAAATTGACTCATTATAAATTAACTACCAATTTAATATGTTTTTCTAAATTTTTCCAGTGACACAAGATGACAACAACAGTAGTTGTGGAATTTTGAAATATAATGTGTTCACGATATTTTTTCTTTATTTTACTTAATCATTTAAAGTATTTTTAGATTCATGTTGCTGCTACTGTTACTTATGGACTAAGTTGATGGTGGGAAAAAGGGGTGAAGTGGGTGAGGACAATTTTACCCTTGTTTATAGAAAGAAAAAGGTATTTTTGTATTTAATTAACGGAAAAACTGACGGAATATGGACGGAAGGACGTCCAGCGCAAAGAAAAGTTGAAATGAGGGCAAAAATGCCAAAAAATGAAAGGTATGGACGTTTTCCACAATAGACTTGAAAGGTAGGGACGTTTTGTGCCAATTACCCGAATGTTTAACGGAAAAATTGACGGAATATGGACGGAAGGACGTCCAGCGCAAAGAAAGGTTGAAATGAGGGCAAAAATGCCAAAAAATGAAAGGTAGGGACGTTTTCCACAATAGACTTGAAAGGTAGGGACGTTTTGTGCCAATTACCCAAAAATTAATAAATTGACAACATAAAAACTTAATAAAATGGTCTAAATAAGTGCACAATTTGCACTCATCAAGTATCCAAGTTTGTTTTATAATCATCAAGATTTGCACTTTTAAGAGGAGGGACCTATTAAATTGGGGTCTTTTGTACATATGATTCTGATTTGTTCAAATTTGTCTTATAAATCATACATATTCTATTTGTTTCTACTACTTTTTTGCTCTAGATGATAGAATTAGAATTTCTAATTCTCAATTTAACAAGTCCTGAAGAAACCATCCTGATTAGCATCTCCTAAGAACTCTTTTAATCGAATAAAGTACCTTCAAAGAATTATTCAAATAAGTCAAAGAATAATTTCGTAATCTCAAAAACAATTTTTGACTTTTCACAATCTTGCCAAACGTGCACCATAAATCCTTTTCAAATCTAGCTTCTTAGATTTACTAATTAGAATTGAACGTACATTGCACATTATTCTAAAAATACTTTATAAGTTATGTAAAAGTAATATTTGATACCAATTTGTTGAAGGATTTGATAAGTTTCGGATGAATTAAAGAAAATAAAATTTAGTATAAAAATTTAAAAGAAAAAAATTATGCTCAAATTGTACTCTCAAAACTCAATTTCTATAATTCAATTTTTTTATGATGATGAAATATTATAAATAAACAATCTTTTTATATTACATTTGATACGTAAAAATTAATTGCTAATACATAAATTTAAACACCTAAATATAAATAAATTTAAAAATTCATGTAATTCAAGATTCATCAAGCAAAAATTCATTTAATCTAGATAAAAATAATTTTATAGTAATATTATTACATATCGAAAAATGAAAAATAAAGTATTACTGAAATAATTGAATTTTAAGGAGGGTTAAAATCGTTCAAAAAATAATTCTTCCTAGTTGTGATATTTTAATATACCGTCCAAGAAATGATTCTCCCTGATGTGATAATTTAATGTATATTATAGACTTATTTTTTTATTTTTTTTGTAATTCACACAACCCAATAAGTTATGCTTCTGTTAGCATAGAATCACAAATAGAGACTCTGCTGGCTGTACCCTGTACAGCAGGCAAAGTCCTCACAAAAAAAGAAGAAGACAGATTCGCCATAAAAAGTACCAGTATTTCAATTTGATTCCCAATTCCAACGAAATAAAATAGGTGTGTATATGTCACAGGAGAAGCTACAAAGATCAAGATTCCTTGCACATGAGAGAAGAAATTTATAAATTATGCTTCCAGCACCACAGCATTTCTATTGAAGGATCAGTGTCGGGGAGGACCACGCTTATCATATGATCCCCAAGGTCCGGCACCATATACATCACCGTATGGACCAGGATATCTTGTTTCAGGACTTCCATTCATCATACCATAACCCCCAACACCTATATAAAGGGAAAATGAAGTTAAGGATACTTGATTAGTCAACATTCCAGCCAGAGGGCTGAGAGGGGATCGGGGTCGAGAAAAGATAGAAATAAGAGCAGAACATAACTCATTTCTGTGCTCGTGTGTTTGTTGCATGGGTGCGGGAAGAGAGAGCAGAGATTACCGAGACCTCCTCGAGCCCTCCTTTCTATACTTGCTTGCTCAGTACGTAGCTTCTCTATTTCACGAGCCATGGAAAGGAGATTTTTCTCCATCGACTGATTTTGTTCCACCAGTTCCTCATTTCCTTTCTTCTCATATTCATACATCCTCCTATGTCGTGTGTAACCAGATGCAGCAGAAAACGCTTGCTCAGAAACACAACACAACCAACCAAACTCTTTCAAATGACACAATTTGCACTCGAAAGAAGGCATCAAGCTCGACAAATTTGCAGAATATGGTTATAGACAACTCTTTGAAATGCATGAATTTGCATTAAGAGATGGCACGGACCACTTGTCCAGTATTCTTCAATAATCAATCATTTATCAAGTACATCAATCCATTCTGATCTAAAAAATTTGAATAGGTTTAAATATGTATTCTCAACCATTTTGACAATCATAGAAATAAGTTAACCATAGAAAAAAAATGCAAAAAGGGCTTAATAAAATTAATGTTTTTTTCTTGTTCACACAACCAAATAAAAGGTTTGAGAGGCACCAGTACACGACACCCGTACAAATCCAGGTGACATGCATGGACAATAATCCAGTTACTTCAAAGATTCAAAGCAAATGGAAAGCCTGGACCTATTAAAATTGAAGGCACCAACTCCTTTTTATTTGGAGTCTATTTTGCGTGTCTATTGCAGTGGCAGGTGTGGAGTAAGTTAGCACGCAGATGATAAATTAACAATCAAAAAGCTTACCTAGCATCAACCAGGTCTTTAGCACGCAGATGATAAATTAACAATCAAAAAGCTTACCTAGCATCAATCAGCTCTATCCCCATCTTATCAATGTCAGTTTTCATGGCAGCTATTTCAAGATTCTCAGCTTGCATTCGATTAATATCCTTAGTCAGAGTTTGAACCTGGGATGATAATTCCTGCCGTAAGGTACTTAATTTCTGAGCTTCGCCTCTTAATTGCACTACTTCTCCCCTCAGAGGTTCAGCAGAGCGAAGCTCGGCCTCTAGTTTCAATCCTCTATCAACCAACTCCCTTGTTTGAATCTCTCTGTCAGCACGCAATTTAGGAATGACCTGACCCATTCTGTGAATCTCATCTTTCGCTGCAGTCAATTCCCTTTGAAGCATAACATTGTCCTCAACCACATTTCGGTTTTCAGCAAGAAGCCTTTGGATGTCTCTGTGCTGGAGTTCAAGTTCCTCTTCCAGGGCCACAGGATGAGGTACGGGTCCCCGTCCTCGATCTAAAAAAGGACGTGGGCCATCACGGACACTCCGGAAATTATCTGGATGCCTCGGCATGTGATTCCTCCCAGCCATAACAAGCAACTGCATTAGAGATGATGTGAGGGTACCAATAACCGAACTCAATGAGTGATAAAAATCCAATATTGCAGTAGGGAATGAAGATTCGAGTTCAAGTAAGAACGATAACGTTGAACCAGATACCAAACTGAATTTCAAATAAAAATATTCACGAGCGATACTATCACATGACTGCAAAATGAAAAACTGAGTGCATAATCATCATCCCTGAATGCATTAACCTTCACAGCAGATATTTCAAAGTCCTCCAACTCAGAGAGAAATGTACAGAACACGATGAATGAATGTGCATGTCATACAACTCTTTAATAAACTTGCCAAAAAGGGGGTCAGATTCTCAATAGTTCATGATCACCCATCATCTCAATTTTACAAAATAAACAATTAAACACTCATCACATAACTTTCTCGAGAACTTGTTCAGAATATCTATATGAAGTTCAGTGGTCATGGGTATTTAAGAAGTTAATCGTGATAAAAAGGAACAAAAGTAAAAGAGAAAGTAAATATTGCCTTTGGAGGTAACTATGGTAAGGATAAATAGTGGAAGTTCAAAATTTAGTGCTAAATATGAACTTCTTAACAATTGAAACGCTGTAAGACTACATAAAACTTAAAATTCAGATATGTCCCTAACTCAATCATAGAAACACGACATTCATGCAAGAACCAATTCAAACACGGGCGAAGAGACAGCTACTGAAAAAATGTGGTGTAATAAGGGCTATGTTGTGCAAATAAATTGGCCAAGGAGCAAATTCAATCAAAACAAACTGAATAATAATAATAAACATTATTTAAAACACAAATAATTCAATCTCCACAAAACAGACTAATCATAAATGGAAATATTAAAATCAATATGAGCATCTTTCTTCCTTTTTTTCTTATACTATCATGAGGCATTCAAAAGAAGTGAATGTTCATGCTTTTTTACTATAGGTTGTGTGATTAGATTTCTCTGTAAGCACATAAACAAATGGCAAGAAATGGAGAGAAGAAGAGATGTGACGGTGGAGAAGCAATAACTCAAATAATCTAGGGAACAAAAGTCGTTATTTGAAGTGTGTATAATGCAACCATTAGTAGTCTGCAAATTCACATTGGAAGTTTCTATGCCCACGACATAAAGCTAATAGCTGAAAGAATTTGTGTAACTGAAGATTCTATTTCATTATTATGCTTTATCAAAAATATGACATGACAAAGTAGGAGAGATACAGGTAGGTTGACAATCAACGGAAAACTTTCTCACATCTTATGACGTGAACGTGACATAATGCAATTACAGAGGATTTGAACTCATTGGACGTTTGAATAGATATACCAATGGAATCAATAGAGCGGTGAAAAGGAAATATGAATCCCCTCCCAATTTTATAGGGAACAAGGCTTAGTTTTGTGGTTGTATTACTATTTGAACACATTAAGAATTCATTGTATAAACCATTGGAAGTCTAAAATGAAGTTTAAGTTAGAATACAAACGTTTTTAGGATAATGACACATAGCTTAATAGCTGAAGGTAGCTACGTGACTGAAGATTGATTGTACAAATATTATCCCTTATTGCTATTTCAACCCATTGAGATTTCACCGGGTAAAATAGAATGCATAACAATAATATTAGACTATTAGTGACTTCAACGTGCATCCCTCCCTCTGACTATTAAAGTGAAGGTATAAAACCATACAATACCACCTTATCTGAGCAAAATGATAAATAACTGTAAACAAACAACCAATCTCTTAGCCCTGAAAACCCTTTTTCTAACACCATCTTAAAGCCTAAAAAAATCCAGCTATTTACAGCCAGAATATAATCGACAAAGTTAATTAAAGCAAAACTCGATAGTCATCAGAAAGTTGAAAATTTTCTAACCAGGGCAGCAAATATCAACAATAAAATCTCGTAATAATGCAATTCGAATTAATAAAAAAATAAGCTCCAGCTGAATTTTCTTACCTATTCATTTCTTCAGAATACAATTAAGAGAATAATTTAACGGGTAATTCATCTTAAATAAGAATTAATTGCAGGAAACTTGATCCATGAAACGCCAAGCAACAGAAAACAAAAAAAATGATAAAATACAGAAAAAATACTCGTATGTTAGAGCAATCTTAATATTCCGTAAAGATACATATACCCATTTGCATATGTGAAATCTGTACACAGGAAAAAATGAAATAGATAATTGTGCACAACAAAATGTTTTTTCGAATGAACGTGAAATCTGTACCTGTGAAATTTGGGCGATTTGTCAATCGTTCAATGAATAATTGAGGAGCCGAATTTCCAAAAGCAACCCTTAGGTACTGTATGCAAGCGGTGGGTTCATTTCTGCCAAATCGGTCATTGGGCCTTCAACGTGGTCTGGGGAAAGCCTAATAACAATCCCAATATATCAATGCAACACTAATTTTTTTTTTCTTTTTTCTTTATTATTATTATTATTATTATTTTATTTTTTTTGGAATTTTGTGTCCAAACTCCAAACTACAATTTATGTAGCATTTTTTAATTTTGTAGAGTTTGAATAAAAGAGACGCTTTTCGTGCATAGTTGAGGTGAAAAACAAGAAAACCTTGTGCAGATGAAAATGCCGGAAAATTTCATACGTGACATTATAAATTCTACTTTAAAAAATATTACTATATGATAAATATAAAGATAATTTTTTTTATTTTAATAGAGTTTGTAACATTTATCTGTGAATTTTTGTGGTTAAAATAAAAGATTTAGTCACGGTTTGATTTAACTGAAAAAGTTGATAAATATTTTGTTGAAAAAAAAAATTTTAAATCAAAATCAACAAGTAATTTTAACCACACATTTCACAAGACAAACAATTTTTGTTAACGCTTTAACTATACATTTCATCAATATTTATTAATCTACTAAAAATCTTTTTTTTACCAAAAGCAATACGGAGCTTATTATTCTTAACTTTCAATTCCCACTAAATAAGAGCTTGTTAGTCTCTCATTATGAGAGAAAATATAAAATTTTGAATAGTATTTTTTTGAGAATGTGTGGTTAAAATTTAAAGAAATTTTATTGATTTGTGTATAGAATATTTTATTGTGTGAATGTGTGGTGAAAAATATTATTGTAACGAACAATATAATTTGTTAAAGGATGACAAATAAGGGGTAAATTTGTTCGAAATCTTTTAGTTTCTCACCCTTGCCTTCACATTCAATTCTAGGAAGCAATGCTCTGTTTCTCAACTTGGCTTGGTGTTGACAAATTTGAATGAAAAATGTTTGTTTAGAGTCAAGTGACAGTTTAGCGAAGATTTAAAGTTTTAAACAGTTTCATCGATTTTGGTGGTACCACAACTTCAAACAAAATATGAAATTGCACTGGCTTCAAAATGTTGTTGCTGCAATGAGACGGAGTTTTTGTAACATCTCTTCAAATCGTTAAATTACATAGCATTCGCTTTGAAAGAGCATTTGCCCTCTTACAGCCATCATGGATTTCAATCATGTCTCTCAAGATTTAGCGCTTGTCTGGAGGAGATTATTAATGGATTTTTATTACTTTTCCTACCATTGCAATGTGTGTTGAAGAAGCACCCGCAATTTCAAAATCAATCCAGCCGCCGCAATTGTTGAACAAATTGAAGTTCAAAAATATTTTAATATTTGAATTACCGAAATTGCCCTTTAGTACTTCTTAAAATTTTTGGGCTAGGGGGCATTACTGGTAAATCGGTTTGTAAAAGTTACGACAGCTTCCTTTTTGTCAAAAATTGTTGCTACTTCCACAGGTCATCAATTGAGGCCGCGTCTTTGGTTTAGCGTCCAACGGTCGGAAGATTGCTAAAAATTTTGGCAAGAAGAGCTACCAAACAAGCGCTTAAATACAAGATCTCTGTCTCATTAAAGATTTAAGTCGAATCCTAATACTAATTAAAGATTAAAAAGATTCATTTCATCTTGTTCCTAAAATAAACAGGTGCTGTCTATGTAAACTTCCTCTTGATTCCTTAATCATATTTCTTGCCTAGATTATTTGTTAGGAAGTACGATGTTGTTAATTAACCTCTATTCATGTTTCAGTTCATTATTTTTGAATTTCTCGTTATTAGATTGTGCTGAATTGCGATAATTGATTGATTTTCATGTTTGACAGCTAGAAGCAAATTACATGATAAGTCAAGAGATTACATGATAGAATATCTAATCTTGCCTTTCATGAATTTGTTCTTAAATTAAGAGATTTCTTTCTATTCATATAATTGTCCTAAACTCGTATGCATCATGTTCATCACGTTATTGACCGAGAAAGAAAAGTTTTATATTTAGGGAAATGTTAAATACTTCTCGAGAGACGAACGTTAATATTTTATCTTAAATTTATTTACAGTCAATATAACAATTGAACCAAGAGATGAATTATACAAAGAATAAGATTATTATCGAAATTGTGACTCCTTACTATTTTTCTTAATTGATTTCTACGACAATACTTGCTTTCTCCATTATTATTAAATTGCTTATGTAGTTAGCTAGGAAAAACTCACCTCAAAACCAAATTATTAAATATGTTTGTTTTTGTTAGGGCTACTTTTAATGAAAGTGCAGTCGGTAATCAATTTTTTTGGTGAAACAATATCTACTTATTTTTTGTTACTTGTATACCGTCGACTTTCGGGGTAAAATTGCAACACTCCATGCTCTATGCTTTGATTGCTTAGTGATTTTAAACATAGAACAAGATTTGAATTTGATAAAACTATTTAAGTTTATTCCAATTTCATGTCTCTTTATCAATAAGAACTTGATTAAGAAACCATAATTACGAACCGGCATAATCTCATAAGGGACGTGCTATTCTACCAATGTGGAGGTACTCACATGCAAGGGGGTGGATATTATTTTGGCCATTTTTTAATCCGACAGGACCACCTCATGTGGTGAGTAATATGTACAAAATTGGGTAGAATTAGCCTAATAGAATAGCTTTATCCATCTCATAAATGCTCTCACTTTCAAGCTCATCACCTTTACGATGCCTTCACAGATAGTCTGCCAAGATATTCTTCCGTAGGTCAGATGTCACCTGCTTGGATCAGGATTCCACATCTTATTATCCACTATATAAATATATAATTAATTATTCATTTTTGTCTTTT